CAGCCAGTGGCTTCCAGAGCCCTGGTCCAGGAGGGACGAATCCGAAGCCAGGAAACGCCTGAAACAAAGACCTCTACTCACTACGGCCCCAACTCCCCCATGGTGCAGGCCCCCTCCAGGAGAGCGGGTGGCAGGGGTGAAGTGGGGCCTCCACCTCATCTGATTACATTTCCGTTTAGCAAGACTACAGGAATCGGTGAGCATACGATGCTCGCAAAAAAAAGAAACCATCACAAATCGGCTTCACTTCCTGGGCGAAAGACAATGAAACCGCATTCCAACTCGTGATATTGCAGAACAGGAATTCGACTGTGTTTGGCGCTGGCTGCAGGCGGTGGCGGCTCAGGGGCTAGGCTTCACGCCGCCTCCAGCAGGAGGAGCAGGAGGATGAGGAAGAGGAGGAGGAGGAGGAGGAGGGGCATGAGGAGGAGGAGGAGGAGGAGGAGAGGGAGGGGAGGGGGCGGGGGAGAGGGACAGGTGCTGCAAGAGGGGCGTGGCCGGCCCAGACACCCGATGGTGTGATTTCTCAGTGCACGGCCATTTTCTCCTTCGCGTGAGAACAGAGGACATCTTGGCATCGCTCTGACGTGGGCAGTTTTTCGTCGGCGAGGACCATCGAGCAGTATTTGAGGTCATCGTGCGAAAAGTAAGCGCACGAAGCCGAAGAGTGCACGGGGAATGGACGTGCGAGCGATGGCGGGACACGGGAGGGGGCAAGAGGCCCAAGAGCCCAGACATCCGACGGTGTGGTTCTTCAGTGTGCGGCCTCGGAGGCACTGCGCAGTGCCCCAAACAGCCCAGACCCCCGACGGCACGATCTCGTTCACGTTGGGGGCGGGGGGGCGGCAAAGAGGGGGATGATGGCTATGTAATTGCAGTGGGGACCCATGCCAAGAGACGACCTGGTTGCCTCCAGTGTGCTCCGGGTTTCTTGGGTTTCGATGGTCCTGCGATGGAAAGCGTGACGTTCCAACGCCAAAAACCACTGGACATCCTGGGGTCTCAGGGTTGGATTTCTTGTGGAAGGTTTCTTGTGGTCGAGCCCCTACTGTAGGGGGTGGATATCATGGCGGGGGCCCTGATATCTCCCCAGCTTTCATGGCGCCTCTTCTCATTTCAATATGTCCCCGGCCCCCCCCCTCGGCCGCGCACATGCCGGCGGCCATGATTTGCGCCCCCCGCCCCTCGAGGACGCCCCCTCTTGGATCCCCCCGATCGCAGAGCGAACTCCCGGAGGTCGCGACCCATTCCCCGAGAGACCAACCTTTCATCCCAGCCCGAGTCGTTCTCTGTCGGGCCCAAGGTCCGGCCTAGGGCCCCCAGAGGCCCAAAGTAGCAGGGCTCGAGCGAAACGGTGTGTGGGCGATTTCGTGGGCCGTTCTCGTTTTGCTTCCATTCTGCAGCAGAGGCGGAACGACAACAGCGCGAGGGAAGCCGAAAGCAGAACGAGAACGAGCAACACTGTTTTCAGGAGGGGAAGAAATACACAGACACAATTAATCGTCGATTCCTCAGAGGATATGGGAAACTATGGGAAGTGGGGGGAAGACAAAAACCCAGAAACTTTGGTAAAACAATTGGGAATATGTTAAGTTGTGTGTATTTATTTGTGTGTCCCAGGGCCCCTTCAAGAACGAGAACGAGCAGCACGGTTTGGCTCGAGCCCTGGCCCACCCCTCTCCCCTCGGCGAGGTGGAGCAAAGCCCGACGTCTCCGAGCAAGTGACGGCTGCGCGCGCCGTGCTCCACCAAGCGTGGCGGCACCAAGCGTGGCGGCACACCTGGAGCAGGAGGTCGACTACAGTCGGGGCGCTGAAGAAGGAACCCTTTTCACTGGGGAGGGGCTCCGTGTTCCTTAATGGTTTCGCAGTTTGCCTTAGGTTATCCTGAGGTTTTCGATACGAAATCGAAACTCAACTTATGGAAAATAGGGGCCTCGTTTCTTATTGAGGGTTCCTTAGGTCAACGCCTCGACTGTACAGAATTGATTCACCCCAAAATTTTGATTAACAAATGTACGGGAAATGAAGAAGTATCATGTTCGTAGATCTACGAAAAGTCTCACTATGTGCGTAGATCCTACGAACAGAAAACAAGTTTGGGGCACATCCATGCTGTAGTCGAGCCACTGCTCGAACACCACAGCAGACCCGGCCGTGGAGCGCACTGGACTGTGAAAGGCGAGCGCCGCATCGCGCAGACTCCTGCGCTGGCCATGCCTCACGGGGTTCTTCTGGACCCGCACGACGCGCTTCGACGTCGGCTCTGGCCAGCCCGACGCGATCCGAATCCGACTGTGGGTCGATCCCGTGTGGCCCCATGTTTCAGGAGGGGAAAAAACACAGACACAATTAATCGGCGATTCCCAGAAACTATGGGAAAATATGGAGAATATGTTTGTTTGTGTTTATTTTTTTGTGTGTCCCAGTTCCCCTTCAATGCTGTGCGTCCCTGCGCAGCCGACCCTCACCGCCCACCAGACCACCCCCAAGCCAACCCGAAGGCTCCGACCTGCCCTCCATCTCCAGAGGCTTGGCATCGCTCGGACGTGTGCATTTTTCCTCCGGCGAGGACACAATCGAGGAGCATCCTGGATCATTCGGCGAACAAGCCACGCACGAAGACGAACAAAGCACAGGGAATGGACGTCCGAGCAATGGCGAGACCAAA